AACCACCAAAGCTCCCCAAATCCCTCCCAAAAAACCTCCCAAAAACCTCCAAAAAAACCACCATATTTACCAAATACTCCCAGCTTCTCCTCATTTCAGCCTCTCGAAACCCCAGGAGTTTGTCTCTCTCTTCCTTCAGGGTTTGCAGACGGGTCTGGATTTGTCCCTGAGGGAAGGAAAAAAGATAATTTTATATATATATATATATTTATAAAAAAATAAAGATTCCCCCATGTCTCCGGAGATTAAATCCACCTAAAAAAAAGAAAAAAAAAATTTAAAAATTATAAATAAATACTCTGGGGGGAGGGGATTAAAGTTGCGTCGAATCCTCTCCGAGTCGGTCGAAATCGCCGAAGCCGCAAGAAAATAACCCCCCTTATCTTTTTTTAATCGTGTTTTTATGACTTTTATCATCTTTTTATGACGTTTAGCATGTTTTTATGACTTTTATCATCTTTTTACGACTTTTATCATCTTTTTATGGCTTTTATCATCTTTTTACGACATTTATCATCTTTTTATGGCTTTTATCATCTTTTTATGGCATTTATCATCTTTTTATGGCATTTATCGTCTTTTTATGGCTTTTATCATCTTTTTTTATGGTGTTCCTGCTGGTTTAGAGCGTCTGGGGACCTCTAAAAGCACCAGAATTGGACGTAAACTGGACTTTTTTGGAGGTTCTGGGAGGAGAACTGAGAGAGCAGAAGCAGCCATGCGTGGTCCAACCCCCGTCATCTCGAAATATATTTATAAAAAAATAAAGATTCCCCCATGTCTCCGGAGATTAAATCCACCTAAAAAAAATAAAAAAAAATTAAAAAAATTAAAAACAAATACTCCGGGGGAGGGGATTAAAGTTGCGTCGAATCCTCTCCGAGTCGGTCGAAATCGCCGAAGCCGCAAGAAAATAACCCCCCTTATCTTTTTTTAATCGTGTTTTTATGACTTTTATCATCTTTTTATGACGTTTAGCATGTTTTTATGACTTTTATCATCTTTTTACGACTTTTATCATCTTTTTATGGCTTTTATCATCTTTTTACGACATTTATCATCTTTTTATGGCTTTTATCATCTTTTTATGGCATTTATCATCTTTTTATGGCATTTATTGTCTTTTTATGGCTTTTATCATCTTTTTTTATGGTGTTCCTGCTGGTTTAGAGCGTCTGGGGACCTCTAAAAGCACCAGAATTGGACGTAAACTGGACTTTTTTGGAGGTTCTGGGAGGAGAACTGAGAGAGCAGAAGCAGCCATGCGTGGTCCAACCCCCGTCATCTCGAAACACGGCCACGGGGGGCCACCAAGAACGGGGGCCACCAAGAACGGAGGCCACCAAGAGAGAGAAAGTGGGGGGATGGGGGACACGCACAACGTTTCTGACCATCCCCCATCTAGATGGGGGTGAGATGTTCCACCTAGATGGGGTGAGATGTCCCACCTAGATGGGATTGAGATGTCCCACCTAGATGGGATTGAGATGTCCCACCTAGATGGGGTTGAGACGTCCCACCTAGATGGGATTGAGATGTCCCACCTAGATGGGGGTGAGACGTCCCACCTAGATGGGGTGAGATGTCCCACCTAGATGGGGTGAGATGTCCCACCTAGATGGGGTGAGATGTCCCACCTAGATGGGGTTGAGATGTCCCACCTAGATGGGGCGAGATGTCCCACCTAGATGGGGTTGAGATGTCCCACCTAGATGGGGTGAGATGTCCCACCTAGATGGGGTGAGATGTCCCACCTAGATGGGATTGAGATGTCCCACCTAGATGGGATTGAGATGTCCCACCTAGATGGGTTGAGATGTTCCACCTAGATGGGATTGAGATGTCCCACCTAGATGGGGTGAGATGTCCCACCTAGATGGGGTTGAGATGTCCCACCTAGATGGGGCGAGATGTCCCACCTAGATGGGTTGAGATGTCCCACCTAGATGGGGCGAGATGTCCCACCTAGATGGGTTGAGATGTCCCACCTAGATGGGATTGAGATGTCCCACCTAGATGGGGTGAGATGTCCCACCTAGATGGGATTGAGATGTCCCACCTAGATGGGGTGAGATGTCCCACCTAGATGGGGTGAGATGTTTCCACAGCCTGAGGAGAACACCAAGCCCTGGTGGGTTCTGGGCTGCTTTTTTGGGGGTATCGAGGTGGAATCGAAGCCCCAGATGAACTCACCTTGTATTCCTGGAGAGCATCTTCCAAGGGTAGCATGAGGTGGGAGCGGTGGGCTCGGGACTCCCGGCAGACGGCGCAGAGGAAGACCCCATCGTCTTTGCAGAAGACCTTCAGGGGTTCCTGGTGCTTCTGGCATCCTTCTTCCTCCTTCTCCTCCTCCTCTTCCTCCTCCTCCTTCTCCCTTCTGGCCACCTTCAAACTCAACCTTTTGGCCACCTCTAGGACTCGGGCCAACTCTCGGTTGGGTCGAATGTCCTTCTCGGGTGCCGTCTCCCGACATCTTGGGCAGGAGAAACCATCCGTGGACCATTCCCAACAACGGGTGATGCAACCTCGGCAGAAGTTGTGGCCGCAGTGGATGGAGACAGGGTCCCGGAAATACTCCAAGCAGATGGGGCAGGTGGCTTCGTTGAGGAGCTCGGAGGTGGTGGTGGTGGTGGTGGTGGTGGTGGGGGTCGTGGTGGTGGTGGTGGTGGTGGTGGCGCTGGTGGTGATGGTCATGGTCGTGGTGGTGGCACTGGTGGTGATGGTGGTGGGCGTGTAGACCGTGGTGGTGAGGATGGTGGTGGTCATGGTCGTGGTGGTGGCACTGGTGGTGATGGTCATGGTGGTGAGGGTGGT